GGACCCCCTTTGCCCCCCCCCCCCAGAGCTGACCGTGGCGGATCGGCGGCAGAAACGGGAGATCCGGCAGCTGGAGCAGGAGCTGCACAAGTGGCAGGTGCTGGTGGATTCCATCACAGGTGGGCTGTCTGTCTGTCTCCCGCTGTCCCTCTGTCCCCCCCATGTCCCTCTGTCCCTCCCATGTCCCTCTGTCCCTCCCATGTCCCTCTGTGTCCCTGGTATCTGTCTGTCCCTGGTGTCCCTCTGTCCCCCCCAGTGTCTGTGTGTCCCCCCTTGACCCCCACTGTCCCCCCATTTCAGGGATGAGCTCCCCGGATTTCGACAGCCAGACCCTGGCAGTGCTGCGGGGGCGGATGGTGCGGTACCTGATGCGCTCCCGAGAGGTAAAACACCCCCAAAACACCCCAAAATCACCCCCAAAACCCCCCCAGTACCTCGTGCGCTCCCAGGAGGTGGATCCAGAGCTGGGACACCCCAAAATATCCCCAACCCCCCAAATCCTCCCAGGGACCCCTCAACCCCCCCCAAATCTCCCCCCAAAGATCACCCTGGGCAGGGCCACCAAGGACAACCAGATCGACGTGGACCTGGCACTGGAGGGCCCGGCCTGGAAGATCTCCCGCAAACAAGGTGGGGCTGGGGGGGCTTTGGGGGAGTTTGGGGGGCAAGTTTGGGGGGCTCGGGGGAGGTCAGGGGGCTGCATCCCCCCCTCTCCTAACAGGGTTTACCTGCCAGGTGTCACCAAGGTCAACCCCCCCACACCCCTTAAATGTGGGGCCCCTCACAAGGGGGAGGTTCCTCTGCTCAGGCTTTGGGGGCCATTTGCAGCCCCCTCCTGCACCCCCCGGACCCCCAACCTTGGGATCCCCCTCCAGCCCCAAGGACCCCCCCAGAATCAGGGACCCCCCTTGACAGAACCCCCCCCACCAGAGGAGGGTCCTGTTCTTCTCTCTTGGGGGTCGGGCTCTTCTTTGGGAGCCATTCCCGGCCCCCTCCTGCCCCCCATCCCCGCCTGGCTCCCCTGAATCCCTGGAATTCCCCAGGGGTGATCAAGCTGAAGAACAACGGCGACTTCTTCATCGCCAACGAGGGCCGGCGCCCCATTTACATCGACGGCCGCCCCGTCCTGGGGGGCAACAAGTGGAAGCTCAACAACAACTCTGTGGTCGAGGTGGGGCTGGGGGGTCCCGTGGGGTCCCTGGGGGTCCCGTGGGGTCCCAGGGAGTCCCGTGGGGTTCCTGGGGGTCCCGGGGTGTCCCAGGGGTCCCACCAAGCCCCGCTTTGTCCCCCCAGATCGCCAGCCTGCGCTTCGTCTTCCTCATCAACCAGGACCTCATCGCCCTCATCAAGGCCGAGGCGGCCAAGCTGGCCCAGCAGTGAGGGGGGATTGGGGTCCCAGTTTGGCTTGGGGGGCTTGAGACCCCCCAGCACCCCCCGCATCCCAAACTGCTTCCAATAAAGTCATCGCTGCCCCTGGGGAGGGGCTGCTTGGGGCACCCCAAGAGCCAACTGAGACCCCCCCCAAAGATATTGGGGTGCCCCTCCCCCTTTACCTGGCCCAGGTGAGTTGGGGGGGGACACACACAGACAACCCTCCCAACCCCCATCCCTGAATTCCTCCCCCCTCCCAAAAAAAAATTTTTAAAGCTCAACATTTCATTGATTTGTTCCGAAGTTGTAATTAATTAAAGAGAAGAAAAAAAAATCAAACTTGGAAAAAAAACATGGAAAAAGGGGGGGGGGACAGAAAAGTTGGGGACCCCCCCAGCCCTCCCCCATTTGGATTTACTGTCCTTGTTCCCAGGAATGTCTGGGATTTGCTCCCGGGTGTTGCTGTGAAGGGGATTTTGGGGGGGGAAGGAACTGGGATGGGAATGAAGGAAATTCCCCAAAGAAAATCCAGGGAAAAAGCAGAAATGTGCAGCTGAGGGGACCCCCCCCCAATCCCAGCACACACAGAGAGGACCCCCCTCAGTCACAGAGAGGTCAGAGGGGACACCCCAGATCCCACAGGGAACATTCCAGATCCTGGGGGGACACAGAGGGGACACCTCAGATCCCAGAGGGTCTCAGGGGACATCCCAGATTTGGGGGAGACAGAGGGGACTCCCCAGTTCCCAGAGGAGAACATTCCAGATCCTGGGGGGGTCAGAGGCCCCTCCTCCCCCCGCTCCTCCTCGCTTCCAGCGCGAGGGATTTTTGGGATGGAGAAGAAGGAGAAGGGGGGGGGGCATGGCAGCACTGGGGGGGTCCTGAGCCCCCAAATCCCGATGGGACAACATGGAACAGACGAGGATGGGGGGGAGAAAGGGGTAAAAAGGAGGGGAGATGGCACAGAACGGGAATTGTAAACGTGGCTGGGACCCCTGTCAGGATCCCAGAGTTTTCCTCAGGAATTTGCTCCCTTGGGGTGGCTCTTGCGGGGTCTCCGCGGGGGGAGCCCCCCCCGGGGGGCTGTGGGGGGGCCCGGGGTTGGAGGGTTGCGGGGGCCGGGCCGGGTCCCGCTGTTGGGGGGCTCGGGGGGGCCGTTGTGCCGCGGGGTCGGGGCTCGGGGTCCTCCTTCCGCCCTCCGGATCCGCTGGGAAGGCTGGGAATGGAGGAGGTTGAGAACAGGGACCCCCCAAAACCCCCTCCCCTGGGACCTCAAATCCTGGGAATCTGGGAACCTCCAAACCCCCTCCCCTGGACCCCCAAATCCCACTCTGGGAACACCTAAATCCTGAGAATCTGGGAAGGCTGGGAATGAGAGGGGGTGAGAACCTGGACCCCCCTCAAACACCCCCCCCGAACCCCCAGTCCATAGGGCCGATCCATCCAGGGAACCCCCAGAGCCCCCCAGACCCCCCCACACCCTCTCCAGACCCACCTCTCGGGGGGGCCGGGGCCGTCCCCCCCCCGTGTCCCCCAGAGCCCCCTCGGGGGGTCCCGGGGCTTTCCCGGCCGTGCTGGGGGTGGGGGAGGCACTGGGGGGGCCCGGGGGGGCCCCGGGGGGGCCGGAGCTGCAGCGGGAGCGGCTGGAATAGCTGGTCTTGGGGTGGGACACTGGAACAGAGACAGCAGGGCAGGGGTCAGAGGCGCTGGGATCACTGGGATACCGGACAGGATCCGCTGGGAGCAGATGGAGGGGCTCAGGTGAGTGACCCCAGGAGCCCCCAGCCCACCTTGGCCGAAGCAGGTGATGCTCCTCTTGAGCCCCTCCAGGTCGCAGGTGAACCTGCCGGCCCTGCCCAGCTCCTCGTCGTACTTGCGCTCGCTCACAAAGTGCTGCCAAAAGCGGGGGAAAAGGGGGGATTTGGGCTGGGAACGGGAGCAGGGAACAGGGAGATCCTCCCAGTTCTGTGGTGGATGGGGGAGACCCTCCTGGTTCAGCCCAGGACAGGAGGGGGTTTCAGGGAATTCAGGGAATGTGGAACTTTCCCCAGGTGTTGGGTGAAATCAGGATTTTACAAAACCACTTTAAATTCTGTTTGGAATCCAAAGTGTTTGGAATTCAAGGTGCCCCCCCAGGTGCCCCCGGGGCCCACCTTGATGTCAGCCCTGAGCTCCAGCAGCTGCTCCTCCGACATCCGCGCGGCCCCGTCCGTGAGTTTCCGCAGGGCCTCCGCCCTCCTCTGCCTCCCCACCAGGATCTCCACTGGGAAAACAGCCCTGGATCAGGGAAAAACCACCCTCCAAACCCCCAGGCCCCTCCCTGGGGTAATTCCAGCTCCAAACAGGCACCAAACCAGAGGTGGAAGCTCCAGGAGGGACGTTGGGAGCAGCTCTGTCCCTTTGTCACTTTTGGAATTGGGTCTTTTCCATTAGATTTGTCCCCATTCTGTCGGGGAAATCCCATCAGCCCCCCTATCCCAAAAGGTGGGATGTAGGAGAAACCCTGAAGGGAATTTCATGGAATTTTATGGAATGGTTTGGGTTGGGAGGGACCTTAAAGGTGAGCAGAAAAGCTGTTTCCATCCCCAGGAATGTCAGGATTTCGGGAATTCCCACCCTCTGGGG